AAATCCTTCATTTGTGCATTCACTGTGGCACTTATGGCCCCTTGGCTTGAAAAAGGAACATCTCCCCCATGTTTATATATTCCCTGGGGACCCAGACCCTAGCTTTTGATTCCCCGTGGTATCTATCACAAGGACTGGCACAGAACAACCCAGTAAACATATTTTGAAAAAAACATCTATTTGTTCTTGATTGAATACTGAAAAATGTGCCAGTTTGTTCTTAAGAGAATAGTTCAAGCCCAGGGACATCCATATAAATATCCAGGGATTCCAGGCCATTCCCCACTCTGCACAACACGTTTCCATACTCCTCATCTAAGCCTGTTTTCAACTGGAAGGTTGAGAATTAGAGAAAAACACTTTCCTAGCATTATTCCTGTCCTAAGGGAGCACAGCTGTCACCCCAAACAGCACTGTGTGGCATTTACAGCTTCCCAGGTGATGAGGCTTTCCGACCCGGTGATTGAGGGCATGTGACAGGGGACAGGCAAATGATTCTGTTGACTCTCACACCCTCGGTCCTTTCCTCCAGAGCTGTGTGCTCCGTGGGTTAAAGATTTTCTTTTTTTGTTTGGACTGATAGTGAAGAACTCCACCATTAGTTGTATTCTAATTTTTTGAACTTTGAAATTTTTATATAATTTCAACCTTACAGAGAAATTGTCGAGGAGTATAAAGAAGTTCCATATACCCGTTACCCAAATTCACTAATTGCTAGCATTTTCCCCCAAATATGCATTTCTATCACATACACACACATATGTATGCCAATTTCTGTACTGGGATTAATAATCATGAGTTCATGCTAACTTCAATGCCAATCTGCACTAAAGAGGTAATTCTAGCCTCTCTGCCTTTCCATATGTGTAATTTTCTTCTCCAGAGTAACTGCTCTCTCATTATCTTCAATACATTTAGTCATTTGCTCACCTCCACGATACAAACAAAATAGTTTCAGAATTGCTAACCTACACCACTGTGAAAAGCCAACCTACTAACTAGAGTTTAACACTTGTTTACAATTCATTTTGTCTTTAGATTGAGGGTAGAAAGTTAAAATACTGTGCCCACAGGTATATTCATATGTCAAAAATCACCAAATTGTCCATTTTAAATATCTGTAGTTTATTTTAAGTCAACCTCAATAAAGCTGTGAAAAAATACTGTCTTCAAAATTTACTTGGGTTAATTCTCCCAAGGAACCTTCAGTAAAAAGTTATGGTATTTAAGATACAGTTAGGTTGATTTGTTTGTTTGGTTTCTGTTTCAGGGTTCAACCTCCCTCTTTGTTATTTTTATTTCATTTTTTGAATATGTAAAGCATTAACAGGGTTCCAAAAGTCAAAACTATACAGAAAGTTGTATTTAGAAAAGTGCGACTTCCCTTGCCATTCCTTCACTTGATTCCTACCCACCCCCTGCAGGTAACTAATCTTATTGGTTTCTGGTTTGTCTTTCCTGCTTTGTTTTGTTTCCAAAAATAAGCAGGTGTGTGTACATTGTCTTATTTCCCCTTCTTTCATTATGTATACTTGTTTGCACTTTGCTTTTTTTTCACACATACCAATGTCCTGAAAGTCATCCCTTTTCAGTTCGTATCAGTCTCTCTTTTTGTTTTTTGTAGTATTCCATGTAGCTATGTAGTATTCCATGTTTTCTTCTACTACCTGTATGATTTCATACTTTACTCTTAGATCTCTGATGTGTTTGGAGTTTATTCTTACGAATGGTGTGAAGTACGGATCTAGTTTCATCTTTTTCCAAGTGGCTACCTAGTTGTCCCATTTACTCAAAAGTCTAGTCGTTTGAGATGCCACCTTTATGATATAGTACTTGGGCCTAAATAGGCCCAAGTACTATATCATAAAGGTGGACTGTCTAGTCTATTCCATTTGACTATTCACAATTGTTCACATTGTTCACATCTATTCACAATCTACCACATTGTTTTAATTATAGGGGTTTCATAGAATATTTTAGTATCTGGTAGGTAGGCTTCTTATTATAGTTTTTTGTTTTTTTCAGTGTTTTCCTAGTTATCCTTTCATGTTTCTTTTTCCATGAGCACTTTGGTTATCAGCTTGTCTAGTTTATACATTTATAATATAACATGGAGTGTAATTTATACATTAACAAAGGGTGTTTTTCCTTTTATCAAGTATCTTTGTGGCTTTTGTGTAGGAATGTTTTACAGCTTTCTTTATACAGGTTTTGCACATTTTGTGTTACATTTAATGTCCTTTGTTATTATCGTAAATGGGATTTTCCTCTATTATCATGTCTTCTAACTAGTTGTTTGTGTATATGAAAACGATTGACTTCTATCTGTTCATTTTATAGGCTTACTGAAATCTTTTATGATTTAGTCTTATCATTGATTCTCATAGTTTGAGTTAATCTTATTTTCTAGAGTTTTCCAGGTACTCTCATGTCATTTGAAATTCAAGGTAGTTCTGCTTATTCTTTTCTAATTCTTAAGTTTCTTACAATTCCTCTCAATTGCATTAGAAGAGATCTTCAGTGTAATGTTAAATAATCATGGATAGGTGAGCATCCTTGCCTTCTCTGCCATTATTTTTTAATTTAATTTTATTAATTTTTTTCACCCCACGTGGCATGCAGGGTCTTAGTTCTCCAACCAGGGATCGAACCCACACCCCCTGCAGTGGAAGCGCGAAGTCTTAACCACTGGACTGCCAGGGAAGTCACTGCCATTAGCTTTTAAAAGACTATGTATATAAAAAATATTTTAAAAGACAGAAATAACTCTTTAGGTAAGATGTTTCTGGATATTTATCTGGTAAGATGAGATTATGGCCCTTTTTATGCCTAGAAACTAGAAAAATATTTTTAGCACAAAGGGTAAAAGTAAAAATTTGATTTTATAATAGTGCGTTGAAAACACTTGTGCTGGGCTCAGTTCTTCCTTTTTCTTTAATGAACTCTTTAATAGTGATTTTTCTCTGTATTCATTCATTCATCTAAGATTTATAGAATGCCTATAATACTCCAGACACTATTACAGAGTCTTTATCTTTTAATTTTTACTACACCCACGTGAGTTAGGTATTATCCTCATTTTATAAAGGAAGAAATCAGGGTTGAACTGTGATTTTGAATCTGGTCTCCTAGGTCAAATTTTTCTAAATTCTCATATATTTCTTCCTCAGGGAGTAGAAATGTAGATGAGTGACACTCAGTATATTTTTAGAAAGCAATTGTCTTACATTCTCTTCCCTTCGTTAAAGGTCACAAAGCTGTATTATTGTGTGGAGGCTTCTAGGTCTCTTCAAGTGGGACCTCAGCAACATTAATGGGAGTAATTTTGTTTTTAGTTATCATAAAAGGTTTGAGAGAAATTTTCTTTTTTTTTTTGCGGTACGCGGGCCTCTCACTGTTGTGGCCTCTCCCGCTGCGGAGCACAGCCTCCGGACACGCAGGCTCAGCGGCCATGGCTCACGGGCCCAGCCGCTCTGCGGCATGTGGGATCTTCCCAGACCGGGCATGAACCTGCATCCCCTGCATCGGCAGGCGGACTCCCAACCACTGCGCCACCAGGGAAGCCCAAGAAATGTTCTTTATAGTATCAGGGATCCAAACAACAAAAGGTTTTCCAGATGATGCTAAGTATATCAAGGTATTCAGGACCTAGAACAGTGCCTGACATAGCATAAGCACTCACATGAAAACAATTACAATTTATTATGTAGTTCCACATTCTGTTCTTGTATTAACTGGTTTAATCCTCACAACACCCCTAAGGGGCATATTTATTATTGTCTGTGTTTTATAGATGAGAAAACTGATGTAGAAAAGTTAACTTGCCAAAGATTCCAAGCAATAAAGAAGCTGGAATTCTGCAGACCTCATGTTCATAACCACTACAACTATAAATCTTTCAAACAAATGGATGACATTCTGTGATCATGAAAGATAGTGTTCAACCTCCTGAATGTGTAACTACCAGCATTACTCATCCAGGGTAAATTTTTCAGTTACTTAATGCAGTGGATGATTTTGAAACTGATAAAATTAAAAGGCTTTTGCACTCAAGAAGGTAGAAGAAAGGCACCGAGATGCCTGAATTTCTTAGTCAGGTATTTTGTTAAATCTAGATGTTTTGGTATTTCAACATTTTGGACTTCTTGCAGAAACCGTGCCAAGTGCCACGCGTAAACACAGCTTTTAAAGGCACAGTGCCGAGCATATAATCGCATGTGCACATCCACACAAGGTTATATGGTATACAGGCAATTATAACCAGTCGCATAGCAACGGCCTTGGAGGTCAACCAGTCCAACACTTTTTGTGTCATATACTGAGGCCCAGAGAGGTTAAGACCACAGTCACACAAAGCTGACATCGGGCTTAGTCTCCATGGCGCACGCTTTTCATTTTCTCAGGTTACCTAATAAATTTGCTTGCATTTCCTCTCTTGGTTTTTTTTTTTTTTTTTTTGGTCCCCCTTTGTGTAAAGGTAAATGGGTCTGGCTTCACAGGCTTGCGACCCCTAACACCATAGAACAGAAAGACGGTCAGGGCCCTGACTACCTGGCCAGCTTAAGACGAAATAGTAGCGCAAGGTCAGAGGGCCTTGGGGTTCTGCGCTGAGACGTCGCTGCTGCGCTTTCGCAGCCCTCCGTGTGGGTGGTCGGACACACGCCACCCGGATGACACAGCTTCAAGTCCAGCTCCGCTGTCCGTTTTGGGAAAAGGTGGCCACCCCGAGCCGTGGGGCCACAGGGAAGACTAGGAGCCGCAGGAGGGCACCTCGAGGAACAACACAGTGACGTCAGAGATCTTAGGGCCCAGCCGTGATACCACCGCGGGGCTCGGAACTCGCCCCACCCAGCGAACGCAAAGTACACCCCTCCCAGCCGCGAGGACGCTGGGGGGCGGGGCCACCTACTGACAGGACCCTCGCGCCATCCCCATTGGACTGGAGAATGAGTGACGCGGAGGCCCCGCCCCTCCCCGCCCCGCTCCTTCGCGGCGCTCCTCTCCGCAGCCGCCTCGTCGCTTGAGCTGTGGGCGCTGACGTGTCTGGGCCGGTGTTTGCGACTCCTCCCTGCGCGGGTAGCCACTCGTCGCGGCGACGGAGGGGCGGGGTGGCCGGGGCCGGCGCTCCCCTTGGCCCCAGCTCCCGGCCCGCCCTGCCGCCCCGGCCCCCCGGATGAGGGTATATATTCGGAGCGGGCGCTGGACGCCGATGAGTGGCCGAGCCGAAGGAGCCGGAGCTGGGCGGAGCTGTGGTCGCGCCGAGAGAGGTGAGGGACTCCCAGCTCAGTCGCTGTCTACTCTTGCCACCCTGGAGGAGACGGCGGAATGCGGGACCCGGGGCGGGTGGGGGCCTAGTGCCGCCACGCACCCGCTTCCGCGGCCACGCGCGCGACGTGCAAAGAGCCAGCAACCTGGCACACGCCGAGGAGCGCGCTGCCCACCCACACTGCTCCCGTGTGGCCCGCAGCGCTTCTCAGTCTCGGCGACCCCGCTGGGAGTGCTGGCATGAGGGCGCCCACATGGGCAGTGTCTGCAATCAGGGGTTTGTCAAGAGGTTGGGAGTGGAGCCTCGCCTGGACCTGGGATGGGGGCCTTGAGGTTCTCAGGCTAGGGCCTTGTGGACAGTTTGGCCAAGCTTGGGGGGCCTACAGTGGGGACAAGTCGTTGGAACTGTGCGGTGGGAGTGAGTTGGGGTGTCCTGAGTATATGAGGAAAAGACTCTGAAAGCGTTGATGGTAAATATTGGAGATACTTGTGGGAGCCATGAGAGTGGGACAAAACCTACTTGCCGTTTTGTTTTGTTTTTTTTTTTTTTTTGTGGTACGCGGGC